TATCTAGATATCCCTGCCCTAATGCCAAAGGAACTGCACACTGAATATGTTTTGCCGTTTGATGTCTATGTCTGGACCGCTGCGTAAAAAGGTATACTGTTTTTCTCAGACGCGGAGGGATACTGACTTGTTGTGAAAAGTAACTTACAATTCTACCCGTAGTATACGCTCACTATATCACGGCTAAGAACCAATCAGATTTCTTGATTTCACTTTTCCGTTTTATAATCACAAATAACCCTCTCTGGAAAATCCTAAATTGTAGGATAGTTTGGCCATTAAAATGCTTTTTGATTAGATTTCTAGCGAGAAGTGTATATTGTACTTTCAGAATCCACGTCCAGTGGATGTGTAGGATCTATAGTTTGATAGATATTACGAAGATGATTTGAGATCTCGCCAGGAGAAGGTGTATATGTGGCAGCCTCCATGTAAAGTTAGCGTCAACACTCACGGGGTGAAATTTTCATAATAAAACCGTATTTCCCCCACTGTCAAATGATTTTTTGAAATCATTTGACAGTGGGGGAAATACGGTTTTATTATGAAAATTTCACCCCGTGAGTGTTGACGCTAACTTTACATGGAGGCTGCCACATATACACCTTCNAAGAGAGACTAGAGAAGCAGAGAGCAGGAGACGAATAGTACCACTCACAAGCAGAGAGAGAGAGAGAGAGGAGAGATAGACACAATAGAGAGGGAATGGGCCGGGCCTCCTTCGTGGAGAGCGCAGAGAGAGGAACCAGGAGAAGACAGAACTAATCGCGATTCCAGTGAGGAGTCACGTTCCTACTAATTAGAGAGAAGAGGAGAGAGACACAAACTGCATAGAGACAGCCCACGACACAGAGAGAGGAGAGAAGAGACGAACGAGGAGACGAGCGCGCGCGTCGTCCGGACCAGTGAACGCTAGAGTATGTATTGGACGCGAGACAGCCAAGACCCAATCCAGAAGGGGACCCCGGGCTTCCTCCGGGCCGGGTATCCTCACTTCGTGTGTCGTCTTTCATGAGGTCTTCTGAACCAATCTTAGTCTGACCCCTTGCCTGAGACCAATTTGCCATGGGAGACCCTACCAGGAACACAAGGTTCCAGACAACACAGCCCCCAGGTTCATCAGGGCACACAAACCTCTCTACCACGGTAAGGTGCTGGTTCTTCAGAGAGGTGGTGGAGTATATATATATATATATACGTGGATGTGAAAAATACACATGTGGAAATACACATTTCCAATAGCAAATATAATGCAGGATATTATTGTGCAAGAAATTGATTATTCAATATTAAATTGATTATAAATGTAAAATGTACAGTGGGAGTTTAAGTCCAGTTATTAAGAGAAACTATGGAGCAGAGAGTTCTCTTCCGGCCAGATTATGCATTAATGAAAGGTTAAATTATTATTCAATGCTTATTCATATTTATTTGTTACTGTATTGACCCTGGTCGGCACCTTTTGTTGCTGACATCTCCTTCCATTAACGATTCCTGGGTTACACCACAAAGAGTGCTGGTGGTCAACACCCATAATTAAAGACCACGAGGGACGCCTTTTTTCCCTACTGAGAAGTTCAGCAACAATTAATCGTGCCACCTGGACAAACTTCCATCACAGTCCATCACAAATATTCTCTTGCGATTTCCCGGCGTTTTGAGAGTTCCCAGAGCTCGAGGCCCCTGCAAAAATAACCAGAGCCAGAAAACAGGCTTTCAAGCAGTCAAACGTACAGACGGAGGCCGTTTCCGAACTTCTATTATTCTTCCACTGAAGCCCTTAATGTGCGGCTGTTATCCCTTCACTTAAATGTGCTTTGCTCAGCTGAAAATCACTGGATGAGAGAAAAAAAACACCTGCCTGCTCATTAATTATAATTTATGAGCACCAGACCTTGGACCTAAACTTGAAGGATAGTTTCAAACAGCTTTCAAAATCAACCTTTATGACGACTGAGGATATAAACAGAGCTGTTTCAGAGGGAACAACTGTAGCTTTTCTTCTCTTTAGAACGTCTCTCCCGCGTGTTGTTTGGATTTCATTTGCAGTAAGCTGAAGTACAACTCCACATACACTCACACACATTAAAGGACGGCTTCATGAAGCACCCATCTCCGTTTGTTTCTCTCATGTGAAAATATTAATTGGCCGGCTTGCCATGACTAAACAAAATATTTAAGTGTTTGAGGTGTGTGTGGTTGGCTTCAGACCTCTCGCTGATGGTCTATACTTGAACCTGGTTTGTGTTTTTTCAGTCTATACCCTGAACTCACACCCTCTGCAACTCCCTATCATATTCACATTTAGAGGGAAAGAAAACGGTATCACATGTGTAACATAGCTTCAGTGATGGGCCAAAGATAACTGACCAACTTGTGTTTTTACTGCGTGAATTACATGAATTACAAAATGTACACAGATTCCTTTTAATGCTTGCTTTTGAATACAATGTTGGACTCATTACAGGATCAAATGATGGATGACAAGGAAAACAGGACTGCTCAGACTAAATAAAGAAAGAAATGATTAGATATGTCTAGGAAAGATTTTCACTGTTTGCTCAAAGGTGTATTTAGGTGATTCTACATTAAAGGACTCAACGTAAGAGCTTCTTCTCAAGAGTCTCTTCAGAAACACGAGCTGTTTTCAAACACCCAAAAATGACAAACCAAAGTATTTTAGGAAAACTTGGGAAAACCCTTGATATGAATAGTAAAGGCTGAATCAAACTTTTTACAGCATCAGGGATTTTCCTTATTAAACAGCTTATAGATTGTATTACATTAAAAGCCCTTCACAGTTGTTTGATTTCACATGTTTGATGAATTATTTAAAATAAATACTAATCTACATGCAAGTTTTTTTAAACATCTGATTTCCAAGTGTATATTTCTGCAGACAAGGGGAACATGTGCATGTGCACAGGGCCGGCCTAGACTTTTGGGGGCCCCAAGCGAGCTTTTTTTGTTTAAATATTGAAGTTAAAAGCATAAATCTGGTGCACTTTGAGAGCAATATTAAGAGATCTATGGATACATCTCTCAACACCCATATGAAACAGAACTGTAAACAGATTTTTCTTTATGGATATTTTTTAATCACTTAAACTGTATTCATGTTTTGTCATATAGTATTTCATAGCTGTTTTTCATTTATTCTCTCTGGCTGTCCATGTCATAACTGTTAAAGAACAACTTCCAGGTTAAAGACACCTGTGAATAAATGTGTAGGAAAATGATACACTAAATTTTCAAAAATATATACATAAATATACACCACAGTGACATCTGGCGTCGTTTTTGTAAGACATTTTTACTTCCGCATCAAAAAAGCCTCCCCACGTGACCTCCCGCGTGTGACGTAAAAAAGGGGAAACAAGGGGGAGAACGGCCGGTGTAACGTATTAATAAACATGGATCCCAATGCTAGTTTCGACACAGAAGAAGTTGAACATGTATATTCGAATGCATATGACGGACCACAACCTTATAATTATGAGCCTGCTAGGCGTCCAAGAGACCAGGAGCAGCCAAGGATTAGACGAAATAACGGCCATCGGAGAGAAATTGAGCTGTGGTGTGAGGAGAACCAATGGAGAACTGGGCAGCTATCTTTGTGAGTGATCGGCGTTAGCTACAGAAAGTTAGCTAACAACATCGTAAAGTTAGCTATCATATATCAGGCTATAACTAAAGTAGCATTGATATATAGTAACGTTACTGGCAGGACTGTTGATACTGATCCATAACAGAAACTAATGCGCAAGTATCAGTCCGTATCTTGCGTTACCTAATGCAAATCCACACTATGTTACGGTGCTGTACGGAGGGAAGAGAGAGCAGGAAAGGAGTGGGGGGGAGAGAGATGGTAATACGGTTTCCTGATAAACGTTACTAATGCAACTCTCCACTACCTTCGGGCTGTACCGGAGGGGAGACAGAGAGCAGGGAAGGGGCAGCTATCTTGGTGAGTGATTCGGCTGTTAGCTACATAATGTTAGCGTAACGTCACATCACAACATTGTAAAGTTAGCTATCAATTATATCAGGCTAGTACTAAAGTAGCATGGATTAATATAGTAACGTTACTTGCAGGACTGTTGATGAGCTTCACATATTTTACATTAGAATATCAATATACACATTCGTCACAAACGCAGCATTGAAGTCCGTCTTTTGTCTGACAAAACAAATCAGGACCGAACGCCAGTGCGGGAGCACGGCGCTATTTTCAGTGGGGTGTGGCAGGATGGACCAGTGATCATTTTGGGGTGGCATTGAACATCTATTATATGAACTAACATACATCGCACTTAAATAAGGGGTTATTTTTATTTTTTTTTTTGTTTTTTTTTTTTTTTTTTTTTTTTAAGGCACCTACACACACTCATACATTATTGGGATTAGCTAGTGGTGGAATAGATCAAATAATAATATTATTATATATATATATCTAACTATTTTTTTTCTCGTATTTCCCGCAGGCAAGTATCAACGCAGCTTACCTTATCAAAATGAATGCAAATACAGCACTGTTAGCTTAATGGTGGGATCAGCACCCTATGAGCTCATTCTCTCTCAGGTATCATCGGAATACAGGCACACACCATCATTCAAATAAGAGGTTTTTAAATCAACTGATAGGTTAAGGAATTAAACATCTTAAAGTAACTAACAATAAACAATAGCCTTAAAGGCCCTGGTTGTAATTTTACAATTACTCTAAGCTATTCCAAAAAAGTCGTAAATGTTTTTGTTTTTTTAAAAGATTACATTTACATAAGTCCAAAATGGCCTTTTGTTCAGCCTCACCCATGCTATTGGGTAGTAATGTGTTTATAGGTCCTGCCCTCGGACGATACCATATAAGACTACATTCCTGACCATATATCTCAATGTCATCTTTTTACGATGTACCGTACTTTTCGGACTATTAAGCCGGCCTTTTTTTCCCATTTTTCGACGCTGCGGTTTATAACGGTGCGGCTAATCTTATGGATTTTTACAGCTCACGGCGCACCACCTTTAACTCTATTGGGCTCTTGGCCGGTCGCGGCCCCACTTTAAGCGGGGGTTCCAGCAGGAAAGCTGGAGGCCGTAAAAGGTGGACAGGTAGCGCGCAAAGTAAAGTGGACCGAGAGTGGTGGGAGACAGAACGACGAGCAAGACGACAGGCATTACGAGGCGAGACAGTTTGTCCCCGCAACTGGTTGAAACCGCTGCTGTGTCACGCCGGTACGTGCGCTGGGAGCGCACCGTTTAAGTTTGGAAAGTTGAAAGTTTGTGTGTCTGAACGCTAATGTGTCAGTACAGTTTACACAGCACCAGTACATGTTCGCTAGTACTACTATTGCACTAATGGTAAACTTGATTAGTTATGCAATATGAACTTGTTGTAATAAATGGGAGCTTCACTCAACAGCCATCTCTTTCCCGACAATTCCCCTCTGTCCACGAACCCTATACATAATGGTAATTAACATTAAACACCTGGGCTTTAGTCCAGTGCGGCTTACTTATATATGTACACATCATTCCATTTAGCTGCTGCGGCTTATATTCAGGTGGCCTTTATGTCCGGAAATTACGTAAATGCCTTTTTTATTTTTTTGTGGAAAATACTGGTTGTTTGAAAATGTATAATTGAAATGGGTGTTAGCTTTTTGTTTTGCTATCTATATATTTATATATAATTGTATTCTGGTCTTCCTTCAGATATGTTAGGGAATGCAATTCAACACTAATGCAGCTCACTCCTCAAAGTGAAATTAGAAAACCTTGATTTCTTTATAGATATTACCTTTACTTATGTCAGCTTTAGTAAAAAAAAACATAAAAAATATAATTTTCAATGGATCGCTTAGTAAACGAGGACTTTTCCACCATCACCTTTTCTCTTGAAATCTGGGTGACATTACTGTCGCCCTTTGTCCCTCTCTCCTTTCTTTCTTCCTTTCTTTCTTTCTGCAAGCACTGGACTTTGTGAGTCATTGAGACATGGTGTTGTACCTTAAAAAGGGAATAGCANATGGGTTTTCTCCGCAGGGTGGCTGGTGTCTCCCTTAGGGATAAGGTGAGAAGTTCGGTCATCAGGGAGGGACTCGGAGTTGAGCCGCTCCTCCTTCGCGTCGAAAGGAGCCAGTTGAGGTGGTTCGGGCACCTAGTTAGGATGCCACC